TTTGAGAGCTTGAAGAGCAAGCTGTATCTGGCACTCGCTAGGAGGCTCTAAATATTGTTGTTGTTGCGACATTTGTAGGTAGTAGTAGTTTTGGTGGGGGCTTGGCAAAAGTGTCCGGCCAAGCCGTGTGTCCGGCCAAGCCGTGAGGTACGTTATCAGTAATTATAAATTATTTCTACTATACTCAGAACTTGGATAAGACTATTAATATTGAATCATTCTAGTAACTAGATATCTACGTGTAACGTCAGTAGTTTTATTAGATTATTTAGCTTGCTAGATAGCCAAGACAGCTGTTTAGTTAGTAAAGGAAAGAGAAGAGAAACGGGTGTTTGCAGCGGAGACGCTCTAGGCTTATAGCCTGTTAGATAATAGATTCACGAGCTAATTGTACATAGTGCGAGAGGAGAGGTATATGCTAAGATACTCGGTAACTAAACCCAGCCGCCTTGTGAAGTCCAAGCTCCTTCACCTTCAACCTTGCAGCCCAAGCCTTTTTCGTCCTTTGAGATGAACATTGCCTATAGGATAATGAACGTCCTACGTTTAATTTTTCTACTATACATTGATCGGATGCTTTTTATGGAAAACATTAGCAGGATCATACCTTGTCTTGAGTTCCTGCAAGCGAGGGAAATTGTCCTTGTACATGTATTCGCCTGTGAACTCGGGCAGCACCCCCGCATTCGGGTAGACGAGACCTTTGATGACATCTTTGCCAACTGCCTGATGATGCTTTTCACGCAGGAGCTTGACCATCTGTTTCGAAGCAGTCACGGCAGTAGGAGTTTCTTCTTCGTCGCCATATCTGTCGCAGAAATGAGATTAGATTCCGTGCTACTCGAGGACAATCAAGGTAGGGAACGAGGGAGACATACCCAAGGTAGATAGCAACGTCTTTCCAGAGCCTATTACCGTCTCCTGGTCGCTCTCGTGACGGCGGCCAGGCCGAAGTCTTGTCGCTAGCGGGCTTCAAGACTTTGCGCCAACTGTACATACCCACAAAGAGTGAACTTCCTGGTCTTCTTTCAGATTTGGCGGAGTACCATTGGCGTAGACGGTCCACGACAGGAAGAAAGACGTCTGGCCCGACTCGAGTCACCAGTGAACCGTTTGACAAGCGACGCGTATAAGGCCAGAGCGCATCGGGATATAGGTCCGCAGTCTCGTGGAACCACATCAGCCTAGTTTCATCCTTGAGATAGGGAATACTAAAGAAGACATCGAACCGCTTCCGAGCCTCGGCGATATCGTCCCCGTGATAGTATGGCATCAAGAGTATAGTCTCAGGAGGTCCATTCGGATTGTGGGGTAGCAATACCATGAAAACCATGTCCTCATCCTTTTGTGTAGTGTCGTACTTATCGAGTGCTTGAAAGACAGCTTCGATCTGTTCAATCGGGTAAATAATCGACCCGAAGAACACCTTTGTCGTCAAAGGGATAGCGCGGAATGTGAGCTACGTCACAACACCGAAATTATACCCCGCTCCTTTGAGTCCCCAGAACAGCTCGGGGTGAGAGATTTCGGACACTTCGACGACCTCTCCACTGGCGAGGACGAGCCTAGCCGAGATCAGGTTGTCAACAGCCAAGCCCCAAACTCCCATGCCCCATCCAGCACCCGTGCCGAGCGCAAAGCCGGCATACCCGATCTCTTTGTGAGACGGGAGGGACACAAAGACGCCACTTTCTTCACAGGCCCTGGCAACGTCGCTGACCAAGGCACCTCCTTCCATAGTCACTGTTCCGGGGCTGCCGTATCCCGAGTTCTTCACGTAAACTGTGTTCATGCGTCTTAGGTCTATGATAACCCCGTCCGAGCTGGATGCTCCGACAAACGAGTGACCTCCAACGTTGACAGCAATTTCGAGTTGCTGCTCAACAGCGTATTTTACAGCTGCAGACACGTCGGCCTCGGTGAGAGGTTGAAAGATCACCTTCGGGTTGCCTTCTTCATTAATTGACCACCGGCGTCGAAACAACGAGTAAAGTTGGTCATGAGGTTCGATGATCACTGGCCGGACGTGAGCAGGGAAATGGACAAGTTTGCAAGGCTGGGAAGGGGCTTACTGCCTCGAAAATTGTTCCGGAGGTTGTCTAAGGTAGTTGACATCTTGTCTTGCTTGCTTGCTTCGGGACACAAGTTTATATTCTTTCAATGGATAGATGGCTAGGTATGGTACGCATGAAGTTTGAACAGATATCGATTCAGGATTTACGACTTTTATAGGCCTTCTCGTCTACTCCACGTTTAATCCTTGGGATGCGCTGAAATCTGGGCGAGGAATTGTTTCCGGCCGGAACATGTTGAGTTTCCACAGTGGAGCTATTAGGTCTCGACTGTTACGAGCGTCCTTCTTACGGCGATGACCCGGTGATATTGACCGTGAGCAAGAAGCCTCCGCAAACATCGCCATTATGAGGTACTATTCTGTACGACCATCGCAAGACTGGGGTTAGTGTAGGTCCACTAGCGCCCTAGATAGTGGAGACTAACGGATATTTCCGATCAACGCTACAATGCGGGATTCTGAACTCTGCCTAGAACTCATAGTATGTATCGGAAATTTCCGCATGATTTGCCTCTGACCAATAACTCTCGTCTTTCTTACTTGGATCTTTCCACGGACGAAACGGAACCCGCAGGTGTTGTCCTAAGCATGCACTTTGGCTCCGCACTACAAGGGCTCAATAAAGTACCTCCCGGCTGGTAGATCAACGTCGACTCTGGATTGAGACAAAACTTACTCCACACTACTAGCTAATAAGGCCCACCGGTAGTGAAGATTAGCCTAACCACAACATACAGCTCTCTGTGAATTCACACGCGTCGACATCCATTAGATTTCGTCCGCGACACCTGAGTCGAGATCTGGACAATGATTCGATAATTGGACGTTAGCTGTATGCCTGCTTGAATATTGGTGGGATCCCTTCCAGAGCCTAGCTGTACGGTCACGGAGGAAGCCCCCGGCGCCATGCTGCCATGTCCTGGAATGCACGACAATGCACATAGCTCTGGAAGACCTGGATGGCTTGTGTATTTGCAATGCTAGAATAAGTCCAAAAGGTCTCTTGACAGCTCTCGGTTTATTGTCTGATTATATTTATCGACCTGATCCAGCACAACTTCGTCCGCCGCTGGCCATCTGTAAGGTTGCTGCATTGTATCGAACATGGTCGTCAAGTCACTGGTGAGTTGGTACGGATCAATCATCTCGTTCGCAGAAGGCGGCCCCATTTGAGAGTGGACGGGCGGCTGTCGCATTTGAACGTGCTGATCTTGTTCCATAGACACGAAACCTGAAGACGGTAGAATGGCATCAGTGCTATTCATTGTGCCATTCCGCGTACCATCTGTTTGGGTTTTGTTGGGCAGCAGACCCAGACTCAAACTAATTTCTTTGAGGTGCTGAACCCGTTTCCAGAGCCTCTTTCCCACGTGAGACTCGAAAGAGAAGCCCTGGATGAGCTCAAGTGCCATTATGAATTCTTCACGACAAGCGTTTTTGAATTGGTATGGGGCGTGGCAAACGGCTAGGAAAAGGACCGCCAGTGCGGAGACCAGGAAGTGATTGAATGGAGCTTGCTGTGTCGAATAAAAGTCTGCCATTTGACTCACTTTTTGCAGCAGCCGAATATTGTCTTTTGCTGCTTCAACAGCGAACGTGGCGTTCAGCAGGTCCTCGTTCATGGCGTGGGAATTCAGAAGTTCCTGGCGGAAGATGAAGAGTTGTAGCTGATTGACGTTGAAGTAAAACAGTAAACGAATCCTGTTCTCGCTCCGAGTGTATCCATGCAGCATGTTCGCCTCAGTCGGTTGCAGTTGATATTGGGGCTTGAGACTTCGATACCATTGCTGCACGCGGAAGTAGAGAAAGGATAGCTTCTCTGAAATGACTTTAGCCGTGATCTTCGTTGTCAACTTCCATACCTTTGATTCCAGTTGCGCGTACGCCACCATGATCGAGAGGAGGTAGGAGTCTGAGCTGATCTAGAATTAAGATTTAGCTACAATTTCCATGTCACATTATTGAGTGATGGCAAGACGATGTACTTACCAGTTTGGGAAGATCCAGATCTACATCACACTCTGGAATGGCGAACGAGCGTCCAGTGCTAAAACTCCATCGCCTGTCGAGTATGTATATAGACCAAAAGAGTTGACTGGCTCGCAGGCGTTGCTCGTCGTCAGAGAAGCGTATCGAGTAGGTCTCACGCCGGTGGAGGCCTAGTTCGATCGCGGCTCTGCCAGCGAGACCGATGGTTCTCCAAGCGAGGACCTCCTCGTCCAAGTGGAATTGCAAGATGCTCTTCGAATCGTCAGGAGAACAGTCCACGTACCGGGAGGACAGAAAAAAAAACCTACCATAGCAGTCCAGGCCTGTATCTCAAGAAGCTCAACTTTCTCCCCCAAGACGCGAATATCAAAGCCGGACTCAACGCTGTTGAGAAGCTTTGCACTCAGTTCATTGGGCCCATGACTCTCTATGATTGCAGCTATGGCGATAACTAGCTTCAGGATGTCCCATATACCATCGGAGAGGGTATTTTCATCCTTTTGGTAGGTTTTCGTAGACGAGGGAGATGCCATGTCGACACAATCGTAAAAGCATTGAGCCGCGCGGTGCAAGACTGTCTTGTCGATGAAGGGATAGATTGACCCGTACTCTTCATCATAGACTTGCAACAATCGCAGCGCTTCATTCCGAGGGATGGTGCACAGTGGGTTTTCCATACCACGATTCGCGGAGCTCGTATCTTGGCGTTTGACCTTGGCCGATGTTGGGAGAGGTTCCACCTCGAGCTTTGTACATACTGGGGTATGTATTCCAGCGCTTGCCAAAGAATCTGTCGCCATTCGGAAGAGGAATGATGAACTGGTCGGACCAAGGAATTCGGGCAGTCTGGCGTGTGAAGTAGCGGATGAGTTAACCAAGGCTCCATTGTGGTCCGACTGATCCGTCAAGTCGGTGGTATTTAGGCCTTGGGAGGGTGAGATGGAAGCCGTCGTTGAGACAGTCGATTGATGTTTGCCTGATGAACCGGACGGGAGTCGGTCTGCAATGAGGCGATCAATTTGCTCTTGCATTTTCTCGATCTTCTCGTTCAAGGCATCGAGGTCTCTGAAGGAGGTCAGACACGTACACGCAGTATAATGCAGGCAATGGGCAGATGATAATACTTGCCTTTCCTTCTGCAAAGGCATGGTGGCTAATCTCGAGTTGTAAGTGCAGGTGACAGCCCTGTCGCGGCAGCGTTGGCATGGAATTTGGCTGTCGCATTTACCCTTGCGCTTCTTGCATTCATCGCTGTGGGGGGAGGGTTAGCAGATGATCAGGTTGTGATGACAGTAACTCCGTTGGGTGCGCACCAAGCCACGGGCGTATATCTCTTGCGTTTCCCGCGCGGAGTTGGCGACACGGTCGGGGGTTTGAGGCTGCCCGAATCGTTGGACTCATCCGGTTGGAGGTCGGCCATGGCTAGGCGATTCAACAGGCAAAAGAATGACGTCGATGGTGTTGAACATTCGGAGGAGGAGACACCATATGGGTTGGGATTCAGAAATACACGGGTCGCGCCGCAGTGAATGCGGATCTAGAGAAGTTTCGTATAGCGGTCTGGGGTGATGTAACATGGCGTCAAGACAATCTAAGACTCGGGCATTAGTCCGGGTCTAGAGTGGTGCCTCGGTTGTTACAGAGAGCGCTACTTTAGGAAACGTACTTACACTACGGCCATATAGTGCTATAATAGCCTACTATTTGTTACTAAGATAACTAATCCGATGTTCTATAAAGCAAATCGAAAGAAGAATATTAAGATGTTAACTAAATAAAGTTTACCATACTATAGGTCGACGACGGGTGTTGGCGTGCGTGAAAGTTGGAGCGATGTCGCTATGCATCGCGAATAATGGTCGGATTGCGTTGCCGTTGTTTATTCTCACAGAGTGATGGATTTAGAAAGCTTAGTTCAGCAATGGAGTGCTTACATGCGCCTTAAATTAGTAGTTTTGATAGCTTTGCTGGCGATGCTGAACTTGGAGCTTAAGCTGTGCCCCCCCTTCAGCACTGCCAGCCGGGCTGTCAAACTATTGATTTTAACTTATTAAAAAATAGACTTATTAGCTAACTATAGTAGTGCAGCAGCGCGCGTATATAGATAAAGTATTTAGTAGCTAGGCCTAGCCACCTATAGGCACATTTCTCACAAACTTCATCCTTTACATTTAACAGGATGGATGGTATCTTTTGTACAGCACTCAAGGATGGCTGCGTGGTTGGCACGGCTTCGTGTACTCGAGAAGGAGCAATACCCAGTGCCTGACGAAGCTCTGGATAACACTGGTGATTGGTCTCCCCATGACTGGAGGTCCATCCTTCTAAGCTCAGAACTCGCACATGCGGCTGCGAAGGTACTGAAAGAAGAGTTTGTTATAGAAGCCTCAGCGTGAGCAAATTGATACCTGGTCATTCCTCCTCACTCCTACGAGATCGTGATCTTTTCCGTACGCATTGGTGGAAGAGGTATGGTGCTTGGCCAGCCGACTATCGCTTTCCAATGGTATATGCCGGTCCGGTATATACCCAAGACAGCGACTAAAGTCCCGTTCGATGTGCTTCTATTCGGTAAAGGCGAGCCCATTTCGTTACAAGGCCGCACAAGAGCCCCAGCCCAGTAACCACATAGATGTTTTTTAACCAGGGAGTGAATGATCCCCTTCGCAGAATCTGCTCTAGCGCTCAAGAACCTGAACGACAGATAGCAGTTGAAGTCGTAATAGAGCCATTCAGCAGAAAGACCGTCTTGTGTTATGTTCCCATCTGCGCAATTACCGGTACTACTAAGCGTGAAGTACCTGGGGTTCTCAACGATCGACCACTCCTCCGGGAAGTTGGGACGGCTCGGTGCCTAGCCCAGATGTATCTCCTTGCCCTTCGACGTGTTCTGAATACGGGGAAGGTTGTTCATGAGGTACTCTGTGGGAACTCAGCCGCCAAGATGCGCTGACCAGAGATCAATGGCATTGTCATAGGGCTTCTTGCCACACAACAGACTCCAGATCACTATCTCATCGCGTGGTTTGGAAGTATAACGATGACTTAGAAGATATGTTGCATTCACTAAGTCAACAGACTCCAAGAAGCCTGCAGCTTTTGCGGCTGCTGGAGCAACTTTGCTCCACCATTTGATATCTGTTGCCGGTAGCAGGTGCAATGCGTTCACGAAAAGCGTTGATATATCGATGCATCCGTTATGATGGACATTATTGATAACATCTCTAAGTAAGACGACATTGTCCTTTTTGCACAGGAGACAAATGTTGCGACTGCCCCGCATAGCTTCGAGGAATGTCAAGGCTCGCAGATTCCAGTCGCACACCAGCAATGTGGTCAATACCGTTTCCTGGATTGCCATAGGAATGTCATCGATCGCGATCTCCTTGCCTCCTTGGGTGTCACCGCTTGGGTCTATGTCGATTGACATGATATCTCGATCACACACAAGCGTCACTTTTGCCATTGCAAAGATCTCGTTGATGTGTCCGATAGCTTCCCGGCGGAGATTGCGGTCATGGGGAATGCAAGGTGTATCCATCCAGTAAGTTTCGCACGCGAAGGTAGACGCCAGCTGTGAATAACGTTCATGAAGACACCGATTGAAGCCCGTTCCATTCTCTTCGAGCGGCTCCGGCCGTCCACCTTGCCCGTGACTCCACACATGAGAAATCGCCATTGTAGCACTCGTCGCTGAGCGATAGGTCAATTTGTCAGGCTGATTTGGATGAACTTCCACAGCACGAGCACCGCTGGTTTGCTTGTAGTTGACTTCGTCCCAAAACATCTTTGTACAGGTAGTGCCTGGACAATGTGGAGCGTGCGCCGACTGATCTTGAGTCTTCATGCCTCTGAGTCTGTTGCAAGTAAAAGGCGAGTCCCCTTTGCACTGTCGCGTGGGCTCATTTGAATCCCCAGAGAAAATGCAGCGAGGATTCTGCTGTCCAAAAACGACCTTATACCTCAGCTAAAACTGACGGAAGTCTTGTGCGACCGAGCCAAGGTCCTCTCGCAGTAGCCGAAAAGCCCATTGGCACATGTAAGGTGGTATTTGTGACATCTCCAAGTCTCCGTTAGTCGCTGCTGCTTCGCTCGATCTCTGCATCGTCCGTTGCAACAAAGGAGTGTTGCCGATGGCAAACATACCATCACGTTGGGACCTTGTGTTGTTGAGGTGGTGATCCATCACAGCCCACAGGTATAGCATTATAGACCGTTGCCAAGCAGACCACAAGAAGATGCGAAGCAGACATACGTTTGTGGCATACGTTGGATCAATTCTCCCCCAGTTCAGAGACAGTTTCGTAGAGCCTGCGAACAAGTCGCCGCATAGGTCGACAAATTTACGGTAGGGGTCATGCCAAGGTAAAGGATCTTGCCATCTGTACGCGATGTGTAACGCAAATCGAATCGTGTTGCTGTCAATGTATCGAGTTGTCATGAGTCGGCGGTTTGCGCTCGACGACAGCACTCCAGCATCCCTTAGCAAGTAGTCCTCATGTCGGTCGAATCCATCGATCAGCAAAGGTGCCGCAGTTACTGGTAACCTTCTCAGCAGATGACAAGCATGGCGAACCACAACATGTGGGTGGCCTTTCACCTCGAAGTTCGTAGTCAGCAGCCTGGCAAACTGTACATCGCACCCCTTTAGTCGATCGGAGAGAAGGTCCGAATTTCCCATCTGCTCAAGGAAGCTGTTGCAGACATCCACAGCGCGCTCCTCGCGTTGTGAGAGATTGAGGTGCACGGAACTCGAGGTCGCGCCACCAGGCAAGTCTGTCCGGTTCAGCTCCTCGACGTATTCCATGACCGTGGGGCTGAACTCATTCGGGATAGTACGCCCGTTCTGAGACGGTCGGCGCCATGAGCTCTGGTCCAGGATTTTAAACACTCTTGCTTTGGTGACTGCGTAATCGTCTTGTGACATTGTAGGGACATTCCGTGACTTGAGTGCACGGATTAGGAAGTGAAAGTGAGATGGAGTAGTCGGGCGGAGGGAGATAGACGCTAGTTTCATATGAGCTTAGCAACTGCATACAAAAACGACGGTACCATTTCGGTTACCTAATGCCCGTAACGAGCCACACCCAACATAAGAGAAAGGTTCTCCATAGCGAATGAAGCTAGAGAAGACTGTGGAGCGCATGAAATCGCAGATTTCTTTGCAAAGCAAGATCCACTTCAATGGCAAATCACAGCAAGTTCATAGGTCTTAGGATCAGCCATTACCAGCGGGCCACAAGACGACCTTCACCAACTATCCCCTTACAACCGAAGCACAAGTATCCAAAGTCATCGATTCTGCCCTCAAAGCCAAGTAATCACGGGAAAACACGCCTTTCGTTGATCGAGCAGCAATCTTTCTCAAAGCGTCCGAGCTGGTAGCAACATTACAAACAAGTTTAATACAAGTGCTGGACCGCAACTAAGTTCGTATACAGTGCGCTTGTCCTCCAGAAATCTTTTTGGGGATGAATTTGTTCCCCAGTCCTATTATTCGCAATTGCGTGCATATGATACGGAAGGGTAGAGAATCTCTTCGGGCTTTAGGAATGGCCGCATGTCCATGAATACATCTACGCCGTGTTCCAGCAGTACCATAATTACATCAGTATTACGTCGCAACATTGCTCGAGCAAATGATTTCGAGAGTAATTTTGTCTTGTTAGAAGAGACTCCGAGTTTTCTCATTTTCAAGTAAAATGCTGGATATGGTATGGTGTTACACCCTCGCAGAGTGTCCGGGCGGTGTGATCTTAAGAGCGGTGTGAATGAGGGTGATGCTTGCACCGTGTTCCAGAAGTAACTTGGTGATAACTCTCCAGTTCCAGATGGACGGCGATAGACAGTGGTTATGGTCCCATAGGGTCAAGTGCATCCAGTGGTGCTCCTTTGCCGAGAAGCACGTTTAACGTGCATTCATCATTGCTGCATACAGCTACCCCGAGTGGCGAGACACCATGAAACTCTGACTTGAAGACTATGGTGATGGTCACAAAGGAAATAAATACAAGTAAGTTGAGTTCGTGCCGTCTTTGCTGTTCCACGTAAATCTAGCGCTGACTAAGATACATCGTCTGGCTATTAAGTTTGAGGTTATCTCTTACGATTGGTAGAAACGGCGGGAAGCCTCGTGTCAGGCAATGCCGATGATGCACAATTGCCAGAGATTATATGATAGGCTCGCATAAGATAACGTGAGAGCGGGAATTGATTTTACTCCGCAGGTTTCCGGTAGCGAAGATATAAGAATGGTACTTCATCTTGGGGTTTTCATCACCACCTTCAACACACATACCCACAATTTTACCGAAACTCTCTCTCCCAAAAGTTCTGCAAACAATGCAATTCATCAGATCGGCGCTGTTTGTACTGTTCGCTGCGACATCTCTTGTGGCCGCCGCCCCAGCCGCTCGTCCTGTGCCAGAGGCTAAGAGCCAACATGAACACACAAGTGTTAATTGTAAGTCCTCAAACCACCAGCACTATGACTACAGATGAGCTGATACTTAGCTTTGAAGGCAAAGAAGAGCCTTGGGTCTGTAGGCCTCCGCGTAGCTAAATAGCTGCGGATGTAATGGGCTGAACGCTCTTTGGATCGCTCCTCGAACAGGATCTTGGTTCAAGTTGTGCGTGCAGACTCATAAAAGATAACTACGATTTTGAGATGTTAGGGTAGAGACCTATTTACCACAATAATTAAGACGAATTCTTAAGGATTTACCCAAGGTTGAGATGGGACTATATATACTCTATGTGTGTAACCGTGGCTTTATTAGTCCAAAGGGGGGTACCCGACGGATCTTCCTATGTCTACCACCTCCCCCAATAAGCCTCTCATTCAGACTATGGTCATATATAGGAATCCGCTAAAAAGACACCAAAGTATCATAGTCAATCTTTTGCGCTACTCCACTACACCGCCATCTACTCATGTATCCGCGGAACGTGGCAGAATTTCCATTTGTCGTTGCGTAAACCCCAACAAGTCCCCCCGATCCAGCACCGTCTCCAGCAAGAAGTGCAGTACTATAATCGACAATGTGTCTCTCTTCGTGACTTCTCGTGCTTGGTGATGCAAAGAAACTGTAGCTGCTTTTGTTGTTTGGAGAGATGTGTATGTGGATGGGACTTGTCAGCCAGGATTGGGGGATCGGCTCGATTTTTTCTTGAGGAATGGGATAGCGTACGGAGTTTGCTCTGAAACGGAAATAAGGCTGCAGAGCACCACTGCTAGTAGTGTTGTTGAGGTAGACGATGCCGAGATCCACGTGCTGGTCTTGGTTCAGAAAGTTTGATCCGCCCAGTTCGTCGCCTGCTGATTTGCCGAAGTTGGGGTGCAGGTCGACAGTGTAGTTGAAGAAGATGTGCTCCTGTCGCCGGAACACGGCTGAGAGTCCTTCCCGGGAGGCATTTAATTGCGCATCAGCTGTGAGGTTCGCCCTTGCGGACTGAATTTGAAGTTGGTTCGGGTGACCTTTGGGTGATATCTGGAAGGTTGAACTGTTGAAGGGAGCGCGCCAGAAAATCCAATGCGGTGGTATCTTAGATCCTGGCGAAGAATCCACAACATCAGGCGCTCCCCTAGCAATGCTCAAACCCTTGCTGGGTGTCAAGGAGTTTCGCTTTTGTAGTGGCCCCTGCATCTTTCCACGCACCTGGTCAGCGTATGGCCAACCCTTGCTTGGCTATGAGACGGGGAATAGCACCGCCTCTCTGCCCATTGGGAAAATAGACTGATTGTACAGAGCTGGACCTCCTCTTGTGAATAAAGCGACTCCCCACCACTTCTTTTTTTCCGTCCTGAAATAGGTCTACATGCCCTACGGTTTGAAAATATTCATTAGTTCCGCTATTAGAGACTAGAGGATTGTTTGGTGAAGCTTCCCATGGGCCCGTCAAATTCATTGCGCGCGCCATACTCGCTCGATGCCCGAGTTGAGTACCTCCTTCTGCGATCAATAGGTAGTAGTAGCCATCTTTCTTAAAGATGTGAGGTCCCTCCGCACTGGCACCACCCGTACCGTTCCACAATGGCCATGGTTTGCTCGTATTCCCAGTAGTCATGTCCAAATAGCAAGCTTGAATGGGACTCCCCGAAGACGCAACTACTACGGTACCGTCGTCATCAAAGAAGATATCGGGGTCAATCGTGAAACCAGATGTTTGGACAAACAGGTAATCACTCCATGAGCTGTCGTCGAAAGGATCGGTTGCCGTGCTCAGAACAGAGCGAGGTACGCCAAATGTGGTATTGATCCATGCCGAGATGGGATAGAATTTTCCCTTGTGGTACCGCAGAGTGTTGGCAAGCATGCCGGTGAATTGCTCATTTGTTGCAGTTTGAACTTCGGGTAGCTGGGCCACTCGGCTTAGAGCATTACTTGCAAGTCTCCAGTTGGTCAAGTTCTGACTCGCGTATATCGGGTTGCCGGAAACGCCATGAAACTTGATGTGGTGCAGAAAAAGGTGTTGTCGAACTCAGGGACAAAGACGCAACTGGAATCGCTGTGCCACCCAGGTAGTATGGGATTGTTGTGCGTAACATTATTGCCTCTAACAGTACCCAATATCACTGTAAGAGATTGTATTTCTTTTATCATAAGAATTCTCATGATGAATGGAATGTTGGAGACAATGCCTAATCTCACAATTCCTAAATATCACACACATATATAGACTCTAATAAAATAAGACTTTATGGAATGTGGAGAGGCTCAACAGTCGTCAATATAACTTGAATTATTTTTCTGCCAGAGTGTCGGAATGTGGATTGCAGACGGAGAGAACTCGGCCGGCTTCGTGCGGGAAGATTAGCATGGCAAGTCTAAAGTGCTGTGTATAGTAAGTGCGTGCAACAGTTCAGTTAATCCGACCTTTCATCAAAATGCGCACCCGCCAAAAAATGGGAGCTCTTGGCCATTATCAGAACGTTTCTATTGTACGATTTCTTAGTAGAGTACTGTAATAATTTTATATTCAAGGCTTCTGAGATTTGTACCAAACGCTAGCCAAATATTGACTAGCGTCAAATGTATCTGTCCGACGTTAAGATTGTTATTAGCATAGGCGTAGGGCAACAATAGCAGAGATGGCTCAATAGTTTTATGTTTACTATAGATGAACAGGTAGTATTCTCTAAGCTTATATGTACGGTGCTAAGTTAGATATAACTGAGAGGACCTGCCTTGGATCAATAGGCACCAGGGGATCCAGAGGGGGTCTGAGGAGGCTAGGTACCACCTTGCAGTACTAACATGGAGTGTGTCCAAGGTATCTATCTACTCCATACAGTATCTGCAAAAGACAAGTCACACGATTGACTCGTTCTCTGTCGGATATGATGCTATATGCGTTCGCACGTGGACTAGGCACACGAGAAGCAAGGCGTCAGCTGATTGCGCGTCTTACAGCGGGCTACTGGGAGGGATGAGGAGAGCACTACTGCGTACAACGCTTCCGGCTTCGATATACGCTGGGTGATAGTTAAACGCGCTCGTTTAATAAGCCCTGAGCAGACTATGCTCGGGTGCTCCCTTGGCGACCCTGGTACATATTCTCAGTATGCACACATGTACTGCGCCTCATGTGGCCGTGCACCAGTTATGTACGTACAGGAAATAATACAGAACAAGGGTTGGAATGACACGGTCCCGTGGCTATCTCTACGTTCCGTACTACTCTAAAGTCACCGTCCACACATGTTCCACACATGGATGCAATGTGTCGTGTGCTTTTGGCGCAGCGTGAGCAGCCCCCCTCTGTCTCCGGCGGCTCGCTAATCGCACCTCGGCCTAGTAGATCCTTGGAACCAGGGCAGGCCGCTGTGCCTTGCGCAGTCGTCATTCGCAACCTTTACCACGCATCCTCAAGACAAGTTGATGACTGCGCCCCTGTGAACTCGCCCATTCTCTCTGGCGCTATAAAGACTGCATCGTACCCTGCAACAGTCGCTGCTTCCTGAAATCTCTTGGCCCCATTGCACCTGCCCTGTGTGCGCCCCCAGGCGCCCTTACATCACTCACTCCTCCGTCTGGCCCGCCCCACGCTTCACCTCCACCACCACCGCCGCCATCTCTCGACCATCATGCACGATCCATTCCCCATCGCGCGGCCTGAGAGCCTTGTCAAGTATGTCCAGCCCGTGACTGACTACCTATCTCTCAACACGCTGCCCCTGCACTTCCACGAGGTTGCTGCTGCCTATGTCCTGTACGACGTCACCTACCGCTTCATTGCGCCCGCTTTTTCGCGCATCTTTTTTCCTCGCGTATATGCCACCTTCAACGCTCGCACAAAGTTAAACTGGGATGTCCACATCGTGTCGTTCGTCCAGAGCACCCTCATCTGCGCCCTGGCCCTATGGGTCATGTGGACAGACAAGGAGTTGAATAGCATGGACAGGGTAGAACGTGTGCATGGATACACGGGCGCGTCTGGCTTGATCCAGGCATTCGCCGGCGGATACTTCCTATGGGACTTGGTCATCACTGTCCAGAATGTCAAGATCTTTGGAATCGGCATGCTGTTCCATGCCATTTCTGCTCTCTGCGTCTTTTCGTTAGGTTTCGTAAGTACTTGGTCCAGATATCTGAAAGCAGATCACTCATCATTTGCACAGCGCCCATTCGTAAACTACTATGCGTGCACTTTTATCCTCTACGAACTCTCCTCGCCCTTCCTCAATATCCACTGGTTTTGCGACAAGCTCAACATGACTGGTAGCACCGTCCAGTTCGTCAACGGCCTAATGCTACTGTTCACCTTCTTCTCCTGCCGTCTTGTCTGGGGAACCTACCAGTCAATCCGCGTATTCGGCGATGTCTACCACCTATACATGAGTAGCCACATCCCCCAACACGACCCCGAGGTTGGCAAACTGTCAGACGACACTTATGTCAATAACGCAGGCTTCAAGAATGATCTTCTTCAATATTCCTCTGGCCAAACTATTCCGCTCTGGCTCATCTCCGCCTACCTAGCCTCCAACCTTATCCTCAATGGCCTCAACTGGTTCTGGTTCAGCAAGATGATCGAGACACTACGCAAGCGCTTCGACCCACCTATTGGCACGAGGAAAGTACAGTCCAAGGTCAATGCCGCTCCCGTTGAAATACCCGAAAACGAAAAGGTCTTGATTGAGGGTATTCATGTCTCTACCCCTGGTGTCGTTGAAAAGGACACTGAAGATTATGTCAATATAGCGTCTCCCAAGTCACTTCAGTTTCAGAAGAACAAGAGCGGGACGCACTTGGAAGTCAAGCAGAGCGAGGTTCGCAGTCGGAACCCTTCGCAGAGAGCTGCTCATGCGGCATAAGAATCTCCTTTTTCCCGAAGTTGGTTAAGGGCGGTAAGTATGGAGCAATGATCCCGTGGCTTCGGGATATGCACCGGTTTCATTTTTATCCTTTTCTCCTTTGTCAGGTGCGTCAGTTTTGCATACTGATCCGTCTAGAATCTCGTCTCCGTTTCGCGAATCGTCTAATACACAACCTATTCATTCATCATTTTCTCCTACAACGTCATGCATCATCCCTTTCCCCTCGTCTTGATTTCTTTTTCTCATCTTGCATGACTCGCTTTACAATGTCGATTTGATCGGCAACAAACGCGTATCACGCGTATTTTTTATCTCGCTTGTAATCTTGCGCCCTGGTCATGTTGTGTAGTGCTCATCTTCTCCTTGGCAGTTATTCGCTAGCTTGAAGTCTCTGTATAACAGAGCAGCTATGCCCCGAGTATTCCGCAAGGTGTCGGGAGAGTATTTGTGTCCGCGGCAGACGCCATCCATCTCCACTAGGATGCCTTCGTACGTTGTTGTGAATTATACGGAATATCTCACATTTGTAGTACTCGACATCGACCTGTGGCGGAGACATGCAGGTTTCTTCGTTGAGTCGAAAGGATGACAATCACGAGATGCGAAATACGAAGGCCAACAGTACCCTACTCCTTCCAACGGCAATTCACTTGCTGTTTGTGCGTCTCACTGCACCGTAGGTGACTTTCCCTTCCAAGGTAATTGATATGAACTTTCTAGCTTGACTAGTCAAAACAATGATATACGTGCATTTTAATTTTTCACGTAATCACGTTCCTCTAAGAGAGCCTTGAAAACTGCTTATTCTCCCAGCTCTTTTCCATCTTGTCAATGACCTTATGCATCTTGACTGCCTGTTCGAAGTCGATAATCTCTTGGTCAACTGTCCCGCCCTTTGCGAATAACTCGTAGAATTCACCAATGTTCCTCGCAAACACCGGAAGATCTTTCACAACGTCCGAATACTCCACCTGAATCTCTTCCACACTGTCCTTCTCATAGTCATACAGCTCAAGCTTCTCGCATCCAACAGGCATACCAAACGAGGGATGCGGCAGAAGTCGAATCTCACCCTTGGTACCCAAGATGCGCCAAGTAGCAGGCGGCGTATCTTTGAATGTCTTCCCATTCCTCACATTAATAGATATGGGCGCCCCAGACCCTGCCAGCGTACCATGCAGAAAGATATGATCTGGCGTCTCACGCACATCCTTCCTATCCAACGACCCATCTCCCTTGACCAAAACTAACCTCAGTCCACCTCGTCGCCAACACAGCACTAAACTCGTCAATACCTCCCAAGGCAAAAAAACGCTGCATCAGCCGGATGTCCGAATGGAATCGTGAAAGAATGCCCGCTCACACATGCAATGAAATAATTTGAAACCCTCGATATTTCCAATCGGTTTCTTTCATGCTACGAATGTTTCAGAGGAACATATAATTAGCCAGCTACCAGCTTCGCTGGCATCAAATCGTCATATCTAACCAACCGGACGAAAGGGCGGGCAGGGGAAGGGGAGCAAGTGCATTGGATGTGTAATCCAGTAAGTACTATACTACTCCTTGTTTCCGGAGAGTCCGGACGCTACTACTGTAGCCAAGATGCGTAGTACTAAGGTACTTGTATTATCTCGGATACAGTAGTTACGTAGACTATAAACGAGACTTATAATCTTGCCGAATCAGTGCCGGGTAGATGGTACGTACGTACTGTTTTCATGGTATGTTACTAAGATATTAATCCTGCCATCCCCGATCTCTGAGCAACATAAGGTTAGCGTGGATCATACATAGATTGGATCGTACGCTAGCCATGGTTTCTAACCGATATGCTAGATCCCTGGACTTGTATGGGGTCTGGGTCAATGTCCATGTGGTCGGCATGGATGGTGGGGGCCCTGACTTAGTTGGGGATCAGGTATCGCTGTAAAGGTATTCACTTCGTAGTCATTAACTTAAACAGCGAAGCCACGATAAAAACACATATCGACTCAGATGTTACCCTGGTGTATATTGCAAGAGAGTCAACAACTATCGGAATGCCTATCTAGCTGGAAACAACCGCGAAATCCAAGTACATGGGGTTTTGTTCATCACGCCAGGATGTTCGTTGTGGTATTAGTGAGTATTATTATGTTACATCCTGTAACTAGGCAAAGCAAATTCAATCTCTCATCTCTGTCAAAATGTCAAGATGCCACATTCTGGCTATCCTGACTTCCTTCTTCCTCATTACTCATACGCTCCTGAATCACCTCTGTCACATCCAGCCTGGCATCTGTCGACACCTATCATACAGTCACCTCACAAGCCCGCATTGCTACCCGCGGCCTTGCTTCTCCCCTTCGCCCTCTTTCGGTCTTTTGTCTTTCCCCCCTTGACTTTCGTCAACTTGGCCGGCACCACACCAGCTCGCTCGTAGACTATCTCGACCGCATTCTTCACGTCATCGTCACGGAGGACGGGGTCTTTGGTCTCGCCTTCCTCCTTCTCCATGCGCATGGCGAAGGCCTCGGACAGCACTTCGCTGGCGAGGCGCGCTTGTCCAAGCGTCATGGACGAGAAGACAGTGAGAACTGATACGGTTGAAGGAGTAAGCGATGAAGAAGTCACATTTGACTTCATACCCAGAGTAGTAGCGTTCTTGGCTATCTGTTTGAGGAAGGCATCGAGGGTCGTATCCCACCTCTCCTGGATCAGCGTGTCGGAATCCGTGGTCGACGCTGGCGTGATATCCAGGTCTTGCTGGTTGATGGCTGCAAGATCCTCTCTTACAGCGCCACACTCCCGCGTGATGCGGAGCTTGTTTCGGGTTGACGGCTTGAACTCTACGAGGCTGAGTATATGTGCGGCCTTCTCACGGTCGACGAGGTCCTGTGTGGTTGAAGAGTCGGCTTAGTATACAAGACCTATCTTGAAATACACTTACTCTTCTTCTCTTCTCTCCCAGTCATAAATCTTCAAACGCAAAAACACCAAACATAGCAAGACGCGAAACCAAAACAGCAAAGCGGCGAAACGAAAAGAAAGGGAGTGGGACGAGGGGTTTTCTTACCTGCCAATCCATTCCATAGCCTTCGACATCAATGTCAACATCCTCTCCTTCTTCACCAGCGTACATAGCGTAGCCATACGCCGCATCAGGCAACATAGTCTCGGTCGCACTTGCAGCGACAAGCACACGCTCGTCATCCTGCAGCGTCTTGCTGGGATCGCTGATAGGCTTTGCGTCGATGGTGTAGAGCGCTGCGAACTTGAGATCCAGCGCCAGACGCACGCCCTGGAGGACTTGCTCTGGCTTCTGATACGCCCCGATGACAAAGTTGTCAATGGTCTTTGAGGTGCTCGGGCAGTGGAGCTGGACGCGACACATTGTTTGTGCGTTACTTCTGCGTCTATGTGAGAGTGTTTGTGTGTTTGTGTGTGTGGGTTGAGTGCGGTTGAGTGCAGAGGCGAGAAAGCGGCTAGATGCAGTATTTCTTGCGTTTAGAGTGGGTAAACAAGGTAAGAGAGAGAAAACGTGAGAGAGTAAATATACCGCACGGAGCGTGATTTTTTAATCTGTGGGTGAATCTGGATAGTAAACGAAGTGAAAGGTGAAAGGGAAAGACATGAAGAAGAAAAGCCCGCAATCGGGCTCCCACCTTCACTCACCCACCCCCCCCCAAACAACGCGGACAAAAAGAACTGCCTCGCTAAAGACCAATTCACTTGGAAACTTCAATCTCAAGACCCTCCTTGAACTCCGCCTCAAGCAATCCATCGCCACCGGCTGTAGTAGGCCTAGCCACATAGCCCGCAATACTAACATCCCAACCATCCTCCGCCGCCGCCGCAAACCAGTTAACCTCTCTCAACGGGCGCCTCTCAACCTCCTCACCCTGCTCGTTCCTCACAATCCAGTAAATCCACAGACTCTTGCCGAGCTCATCCTGCTCCATGCGTGCTTCAATCGTAGCAGTAGGCTCCGTGCCATTTACAAACTCCGGCATGGGGACTAGGGACCAGTCGGCCCAGATGTCGCAGCCGACAGTCGCGACGAATGGCTTGCCAGTGTAGAATTCGATACCCGTTTTGATCCATTTTGTGGCGTTGTTGGCGACGCCCTCTTTGGTTAGGTGGAGGACGAGGCCGGCTTGGTCATATCGGCGGAGTTCATCCGAGGGTGGGAGGGCAAAGGTGATCTTTGCGCGCTGGAACTGCTTGAGGGGATAGGTGGGTTGGGTGTTGGGATAGAATGCAGCGTTGAAGACGTTGGTGGAGGGGGGTTTGCGCCAGATGTCTGTGCCTGGTTGGGCAGAGAGGTTGAAGGGTTCAATAGTTTTGATTGTTGTGTTGCTAGACATGGTGGATGTCGCAAAGTTGGCAAATAGAGCAAGAAGTGGTAGTGGCGAGATCATTGTGGTTGGGGAATGTTAAGAGGACCAAGGCTGGGCTTTTATACTTCAAGTTACTACATCAGGAAGTGAGGAGAATGGTACACTGGGATTTAGTCCATTGTGCGTGATTGGTAGGAAGTCGGAGGACTTGCTGGTTTACGTACTGCATATACCACTATACGAACCATTTCTTGATGCTGTTACCGGTTTTCGGGTGTGTCAACCGGAAATTCCGATAGTCTTACCTGCGACATGGTTCGGTAGTGCAGATCTAGGACGGGACAGCGGGATATCCTCGGGCAAAGAAATGCCATCATCTACCACGGTGTATAGTGTTAGTGCGAATCTGGGATCGGAAAGCGGGGTATCCTCGGGCAACGAGATGCAATCACGGTCTATTCCTCACCGTTACACAGCGCAAATGTCTTGCTGTGCAGTTGAGAATGACTCAGGAACTAAATGCCCACGTTTTCACCAAATTTGGGAGTGGCTGAAAGGTGGGTTCAGCTGCGCTTACCAAAACGAGCGGCCGATTGCGAGATATGCTTGGCATGTCAATAATGGCCGATGATACAACAACCAGGGCAAAGGACTCCGAACTCTATTCTGATCCACCATGCATGTGATATCACACGAGCTTTTGTAATCTAACAACAGCCATCTCTCGCCGTGCCAAAATTTCATATCAGTGTCAAAGCAGAAAGTCACTACTAGTCGACAAGTCAATACTTGGACACGAGTTATTCGAAGGTGCACCGGCCCATTCATTCGCAGGTATATACAACTCAAACTCGCAAGGTCTTCTATTTCTTCTCTTCTTTCGGTGGCTCTGGCTTGGGTGTTGGCAGTTTGAACTATAATTCTGTTAGGCACTGGCAGCGACGTTTGGACAGAGGTACAACTTACGTTCTCAGGCTTGAGATCTTCACCTGGACCAACTTGCTCCCATGCTGATGATCCACCACGGAAGTTCCTGAACGCTTGCGTCATCTCAAGTGGCTCCACAACAATTCTCTTCTTCTCCTCGTCGTATCGGATCTCAGTGTATCCAGTCATTGGGAAGTCCTTTCGCAGTGGGTGTCCGTCAAAACCGTAGTCTGTCATGATGCGCCTCAGATCTGGGTGTCCGACGAAGAAGACGCCAAAAAGATCATAGACTTCGCGCTCGTACCAGTTGGCGCCATCATAGAGATCGCACAGACTGGGCACTGGAGTCGCCTCATCGGCATATGTCTTGACTCTGATGCGCGAGTTGTGGCGGATACTGAGCATGTTGTACACGACCTCGAATCGCTGGTCCTTGGTGGGGTAATCGACAGCAGTAATGTCCGAGATTTGAGTGTATTCGGCAGCGGTGTGGTACTTGAGGAAGGTGAAGGTGGGGATGATACCGGAGGGAGGGACATAGATGGTCAATTCATCTTTCCAGACGGAGAATCTGCGTCGCTGTCAAACATTATCCTTCCCTACAAGACCTCTTAACGTACTGCTGGACATATTTCGGCAGACATGACATGATGTACTGTCCGTACTTGTGGAGTGCCTCGCCCTTCTCTTTGAGGCTCTCTGTCGGGTTGACAATGGAGGCCTTGAGCTTGCCAACCGTGTCGCGGGGAGCAAACTACAAATGATGTTAGACGAGACCCAATATCTGCTACTATCTGCCAGTCCATACCCGCATGTTTGGTGTGTCGGAAGCGGGTCCCGCGACTTCCTTGGGCCGGAGTGCCGTCGAGGCAAAGGTGCGCACTGCATTGCGGGAGCAGCTCGAGGCGCGGACGGCGGCACCCAATGGCCGGCCTACAGCTAGCCGCATAGCCATGGTTTGCAGAGGTGGTGGTGAGGGGCTACGCGATGTGCAGCGGGGAAGGGCGACTTGGGGTGGAGGTATCGACGACGTCGTGAAGTTCACAGCTCAACCCGCGAGACGCATGCTTATGTAAGTAGCGTGGAGCGGAACCTGGTGTGCCATCACGCAGCTGCAGCCTCTTAACCCCCATCACCTCCCGTGGATCCCTCTTACTGCGACTGCGACAATCCGGCCGGCGTTTATTTGTACTTCAGCGATTTCCTTGCAGGCCCTGTGTGCTCGTCACTCCAGGTCTTATCCCACCCCCGCATTCATACAACGACTGCCCTCGGGCACCACCCTTACGCTCTAAACCACACCTTGCACCACACAGCCACCCTTCGCCATGTCTCGGGTACAGCAGGACCAGTTCGTCGATGATGACGAGGAAGAGTGCTGCCCTCTGTGCGTTGAGGAGTTCGATCTGTCCGACAGGAACTTCCGACCATGTCCTTGTGGCTACCAAGTGCGTTTCCCTCGCCAAAACTCGGTGAAGCTGTCCCAAGCCGCCATGCTAACACGCGTCTCAGATATGCCAGTTCTGCTACAACAATATCAAGACGACCATGAATGGCCTTTGCCCCGCCTGCCGCCGCCCCTACGATGACTCCACAATCGAGTGGAAGACCATCTCTCCCGAAGAGTGGGTCCCCTGCTCCTCCCCTCTTTGAATACCCTCTGACATTGGGCAGGATGGCACAGCACAAGCAGCAAATTGCGCAAAAGGCCAAGAAGAATGCGCAGATGCGGCAAAAGGAAGCACAAAAGGCCGAAGCCGACTCGCTTAGCCGGAAGCATCTTTCTGGCCTCCGAGTCGTCCAGAAGAACCTCGTATACGTCACGGGTCTTACACCAACAATACGTGAAGACGAACTGCTCAAGACACTACGTGGCGAGGACTACTTTGGCCAATATGGCAAGATCTTGAAGATTGTCGTGAGCAAAGCCAAGGAGAACGCACAACATCAACAGTCGGTTGGTGTCTATGTGACGTTTGCTCGCAAGGAAGATGCCGAGAGATGCATCAACGCTGTTGACGGGTCGCAAAACGGTGATAGAGTGTTGAGGTATGCAGCAGCTCCTTCATGCCATGTGTCCTCTAAATAACTGACATATCACAGAGCACAATTTGGTACTACCAAATACTGTTCAGCCTATCTCCGCGGTGAGACTTGCAACAATCGCAACTGCATGTTCCTGCACGAGCCCGGCGAAGACAATGATAGCTTTACCCGCCAAGACCTTTCCATGATGAACTCGATCCAAACGCAACAGCCATCCCAATCGTCAACGTCACGAGCCGCACCTCCTGCGCATCATGGGCCTCCCGTAGCCGCTGCAACGCCAATGCACCGACAGGATAGCACGGATACGTCGAGTTCAATACATGACGCACCTGGTCTGCCCGCGACTGCGAATTGGGGCAGCAAAGCTCTACTGGAGCGTCGTGCAAGCCGCTCAACGACCGCTTCCAACAACGCTAGCCCTATGGTCACGAATGCGGTACCCGCACAAGCAGCGAAAGCACCTAAGCCAGTAGAAGCTCCGAAGAAGAAAGGAAAAGAGAAGGAGAAGGAAAAGGAGAAAGAGAAAGAGAAGGAAAAGGATAAGGATAAGGAAAAAGAGAAAGAGAAAGAGAAGGACAAGGACAAAGAGAAGGAAAACGAAAAGGAGAAAGAAAAGGAGAAAGAAAAGTCTCCGCAAGCATCAAAGTCGACAACCTCCGAGTCTACCACCGCATCTGCATCCACTCCTACCATACGCCCTTCCAAACCCCGCAGTCAGGATTTCCCAGACTTGCTCAAGATCATTTGCTCGCCCGACTTCAAATTTGTGTTCTCTAGTGCAGTTCTTTCCGAGGAAGAGTTGAAGGCTGTGACCGAATTTCCTCCGTTGCTTGATCCAAATGGAGGCGCAAAGCGGCGCGCAATGAAAGAAAAAGAAAAAGAACTTGCTGTATTGCGTGAGGCGGAGGGTGAAGTGAAAGTAGCTTCCCAACAGCAAGCGCCAGCCGCTGAACGAGAGGACACTGAGGCTACTGCAGGGGGTAGCTTGCAGTTGGGCGGGGAACCTGAAGATGGACCTGACACAAGCACCAACCATCTCGGTCAGCATGCAATCGCACCACCCGGTCAACAGGGCTTTGGCGGTAGCCTCTTTGGGCAGAACACACCTTTGACTGAGGACTTTAGCACCCTTGGGTTGAGCAACAGAGGCTTGACCCCACAACAGCAGCAGCAGTTACTGCTCTCCAACTTCAAGTCTGGCACTCAATCCACTGGCCTGCTAGGCAACATGCAAAACACTCAGCCCCAGCAGCACGGGATGACTGGAAATGCTTCTGGACACAACAGGCATACTTCCCGCTTCAGCTTCGCCAACGACAGCGCTTCAGCTTCGGCGAATGTGCAGCCGGTGGCGAACCAGAAACTGATGAATCAGCAAAATTCGATGATGCCAAAGAACGCCAACCAGTTCAATCCAATGTCCCAGCATCAGCAACTGGGCGGACAATTCTTCACCAATGTGCAAGGACCGCCTCCAGGACTGAAGCCGACTGGCACACCTCCTGTCAGCGGGACTGGTATGTTCGGTCAAGGTCACGGCTTTGCTACTGGCGGCCTTCCCTATGGGACAGGTGCCACTGCAAGGAATAACAGTGACGCGATGTATCAGGATCTGCTCCGCAGCCGCAACATGGATGGTGGTGCAAGGCTAGCTGATGCTGGAAAGCGTGAGTCAATGTTTCCTTCTTTCCTTAATCAACACTCCACGACCTCTACACCTGCCCCTGCCCCTGGTCTTCTGAGCTTCCCTTATGGGCCTTCGCCTGGCGCTTACCAGGAATCTGGTTCGCAGAAATCTAAGAAAAAGGGCAAGAAGCACAGGCATGCAAACACCTCTTCTTCTGGAGGAGGTGGCCTTGCTGATGTCCAAGACCCGAGTATCTTGCAGGCAAGGCTGCATCAAGGTGGCATGGCTGGTCAGGGCCTGTATGGCCAAGGTCAAAGTGGATTTTCTTCGCTTTATTCAAACAACAACTACGGCGGCGCTGGACGATGGTAGTAGTTTTCTTCTTCTACATATTGGTCGGCCGGTTGGCCAGACATACTGTCTTAGTACTTATTGCAACGGTGGCTGCATGGCGTTTTCGGTTTATACGGCGACTGCATCGGCACAGACTCGGTGCTCTGACACTGGCATGCCTGGCGTTTTGATTGGGCTACACGGTCACTGTCAGAATTTCTTGACGCTGCCACGTCTTTACGGCATTTTTTCTGCGCCTTTCACGTTTCCTTTATCATTTTTTTTATATCTGGGTCGTTTGCGCTGTCCTGCCGATGCAAAGGTCAGCTTCTCTCGTCGTCTTCGTCATGGCCATCGCATGTACGTAACTACCCCTCCTGCCGCAATCAAGTCGGCATGCTTACTTTCTAATAGAGAGGTGGCTGCACTATTTTCTTGCCTTGCCAGTGACGAAGGTGCTCGAGAGACAACCCTTGTAGCTTGATGTATATTAAATGTTTTGCCAGTATCACTACCTTGACCATCGTCTGGCGGCCGCCGTGGTCACCTAACTTGTTTTGGCATTGCGATTGTTTCGAACCGTGCGAAAATCTATACTGACACCTCTGTGTAGATGATGTACCACTCAATGCAGAGGAGCAAGCATCCATCAATGTCGATGCGCTGGTCAATGACAGCGACAATGAGCCCATTCGAGCCATGCCAATCACTCCACTTAGCAGCCACTTTCTTGAGTATTCTCGCCGATCCACTCCTACCATTCCACCTGGTTTCACAGCCCCGGTTATTCCAAAAACTGTCATTGAAGAGTCTCGTGTTCGGCCAGCATCTCGGCCAATGTCTAGGACTGCATCTTCAAGCATTACACCGGCTGTGCCTGTTGTGCCTGTTGTGCCTGTTACGCCAATACGAACATCAACGCCCAGTAAGGCTGGCAAAATTAGACAAAAGGGCGATTCTGCAGAGCCGGCAACACCTACCACAACCCATGTGGCAACTCCTGCAACCAATACTCAACCTACGACACCCTCCAAGGTTTCGGCACCCAAGGAAACTGTTATCTTCCCGCAAACCTCCAAGGAGCCTACACCGAGAGAAGCCTCTAGGAAAGTCAAGGGCGAAGCTGAGACACCCAAGACTGCGCCTGAAACAAAAAAGTCCATGTCAGAGGCAGCTACAAAGGACGTGCCTAAAGCAAAGGGCGCTTCTAAGAAGAACCAAGCTCAAGCACAAACGACTCCCAAGAAAGAGCCACCGAAAGAACCCATACAGACTCCAATCGCTACTGCAACCCCCACGTCTTCTACGAAACGACAGCCTCCAGGCAAGCTCGATATCGTAGCGGCAACCAAACTACCAAAGGACGAGGGATCTCCAGCTGCAGGACCAGGCAAAGCAGACTCTCAGACGAAGCATGATCGTTCGGTATCGGTTACAGCAGCCGGTTCGGTGCCTCCAAGTCCTGCTGCTGTGGGAACAGGATCTCCAATTAAGCGTGCGGGACCGCCGAGGACTCTTCGTGTTGTTGCAACACCAAAGACTGAAGTCCCACCACCCCTGTCTGCGACCACAGCACCGCCTCTCCCCCATATCCCGACTGTTGATAAACTTCGATCTAGGCAGGCGAGCATCGCCTCAGTGAACCAGCCAGGAACTCCTGTAAGTGAACTGATATCAGACACTGCTTCAATCACATCTACGTCTTTCTCTCGGGCTAGCTCACCTCCTCCCGTGGTTGGAAAGGTCGGTACTGCACCCGTGAGGAAGAAAACCAAGTCACAAGCCAAGAAAGATCGACAAGAACGCAAAAAGCAGATAGAAGAGGAGCAGCTCGAAGACAACAAGTCGGATGTTGAGGTTGTGCAAGCTCCTATTATTGGTCGTAAGAAGAAGGCAAAAAAACCATCAACCAACTCGAAGCCTGTAGCGGTAGCTGCCAAGAGTCAACCGGCTTCGCCCAAGCCGGCTACGGTTGAGGACGAGCATGCTGAAGTGCCAACAGCCACAGCTCATAAGGTTCCTTCAGCAAAGGTTTCTGCTGCAGCTACGCCCGAGCCAGAGCCGGAACGTGAAGAGTCAAAGGAAAAGCGCGAGCATACTGCACAATCAATCATGGCTGATCTGCAGCGCACCGGTGAATTGATTGCGTCTAATCTTGAATTCTTCAAGCCGCTATCGTCGTCGCTTACTCACACAACTCGCAACACTCAGATGGGCGGCGCGGTTGCGCCTCCGGACTTGAAACTACACTTTTCCGAGGCAGACTTGGAAACGCTGGCTAAGAAGAAACCTCTGCGCCTCAACAGTGAAGATGGGAAGTCTGAATCAAGGACTCTGATTACGCCAGGCGGGAAGTTTTTCTGGGGACTCAGTGAAGAGCTGGAGGCAAAGGCCCTTGAACTTGAGAAGCGGATTGACGAGCTCAAGGGCCCTGGCCGTTTCCATGCTCGGAAACCAACAGCACACAGCCACGGTCTGGCCACGCAGACGAACGATGTCCTACCGGCCATTGCGACGGCACTCAAGGAAGCAGGCAAGAAGCTAAATACTAATGGCGGACAGCAGATGCCGAGGCTTGATGTTCCATCTGGACTGTTAGGCTCAACAAACCTTCCTTTACCGCCAGTACAGGGACAGGATGCATCAGTTGCACAGGCTCCAGTGTCACAGCAACAACAAACACCAGCAGATGCCGGCGGTTATTTGAACCAATACGTGCTTCCCCGCACCGACAACCCACCACCGAACCAGCCACGTCCTGAAATGGCGGCAGTGGGTGGACCACCTGGTGCAGGAACGGCAAACATGTCTGTCAATGCAAATAGGTTTGCCAAGGCAGCAAAGGCGGTTGTCGAAGGGGGTGCAGTGGGAAGCACCGAGATTGATGGCATGGGATTCATGGCTGCTGACAAGCTGGGAGGCGTCTTTGTACAGGGTCTTGAAGCACTTGTAGGAGCCGGCCTAGGCTATCAGTCGACGCAAGAAGTGGGTCTTGACAGCAATGGTAACATCATGCTTGGACAAGGCGCAGGCGGACTAGACATGCAGGGGCTGATGAATGCTATTGAGACGACAGCAGGTATGGGTGGATACAGTGGTAACGCAAGAAGAGGAAGAGGCAGCGTGTTGACCATGGAAGAGGCGGAACAGGCAATGCAGGCAGCGAGAAAGGAGCACGATGTTCTGGAGAAGAAGCTATCAGCACTGATCAAGAAGAACAGGAAGCTGGCATTGGGAGCAGCAAAATGAGGGTGTTGGTTTGGCAAGCAGGAGAGCAGGCACGTGGATCGTATAGGATTACTCCATCAAGCACAGGCAAAAAGCTTATTGTGTAGCGTGATCGTGTTAGGCTGGCGATGGTAGCGCCGTGCACAAAAGCTAGCTAGAGCAAGCAATGCATTCGTATCAATAGCAACACGTCGAGCAGAATATGTGGTGAGGCTAAGAATAGCCATGTAGAGAGGAAAGGGGTGCAGTAGAGATGCACCTGACACGAGGCGGCGCGTCAGTGATTCGCCCGGCCAGCTCACCGCCAACGTGGGCGGCATCTGGTCAGGGTCCACCAGCTGGTTCCTGGGACGAGGCCAGATTCTCAATTGCTCTAGCACCACGCCTTTTGTGCCTCTGAATTCTGTACACAACAGTCTCTTTCTTTTTCTCTCCTCATCCACCCCCGCACACACTGAAGCCCGCACCAAGATGAGTCTCCAGCCGCCGTCCCTCGCCATGAGGTCCAAGTCGCCCTCTGGCGGCTCCACAAAGGCCGTCATTCTGGTATAGAGCACCCGCTGCAAAAGTCCAACAGCCATGTATACTCACACGCGCAGGTCGGAGGGCCCTCTCGCGGTACCCGCTTCAGGCCGCTGTCTATGGAACTGCCAAAGGTATGTATGCCCCTCTGCCCCCGTCGCCCGCACCCCGCTGATGATCCCACAGCCGCTCTTCCCCGTCGCTGGCCACCCCATAATCGAGCACTGCTTCCGCGCAATCACAAACGTCCCTGATATCAAGGAAGTCTTCATTGTCGGCTACTATGAGGAATCCGTCTTCCAACCCTTCATCAACGCTGTGTCAACCAACTGGCCCCACCTGAGCGTTAAGTACCTCCGCGAATACCAAGCATTGGGCACTGCTGGAGGTCTCTACCACTTCCGTGATGTTATATTAAAGGGCAAGCCCGAGAAGCTTTTTGTTCTCAACGCAGATGTCTGCTCCTCGTTCCCGCTGGTCGAGATGCTGAAGCTGTTCGAGGACAAAGACGCCGAGGCTGTCATGCTCGGTACCAGAGTCGCAAACGAGGCCGCCTCCAACTTTGGATGCATCGTCTCGGATGCGCATACCAAGCGCGTGCTCCACTACGTCGAGAAGCCCGAGTCGCACATTTCCAACCTGATCAACTGCGGTATCTACCTCTTTGCGACCGAGTGCATCTTCCCCGCTATCCGCAGCGCTATCAAGCGACGGACCGAGCGCCCACGGCTGCTGTCATACCCCTCCAACGAGAACCTCGAATCTTCCTTCTACCAGAACGAAGACGACGACGACAGCAAGGAAAACGCTGTCATTCGCCTCGAGCAGGATGTGCTGTCGGATATTGCCGACAGCAGGCAGTTCTTCGTCCTTGAGACAAAGGACTTCTGGCGCCAGATCAAGACTGCAGGCTCTGCCGTCCCTGCTAATGCTCTGTACCTCGCCAAGATGTTCCAGGCGGGATCAGAAGAGCTTGCTGCCCCCTCTGCCAACATTCTGCCCCCAGTCTACATTCATCCCTCTGCTCAGATCGATCCAACTGCCAAGATCGGACCCAATGTCTCCATTGGCGCCCGCGTCGTCGTCGGCGCTGGTGTACGTGTGAAGGAGTCTATTGTGCTTGAGGACTCTGAGATCAAGCACGATGCATGTGTGCTGTACACCATTATTGGCTGGAACAGCAAGGTCGGTGCGTGGGCCCGTGTTGAGGGTACACCAACACCCGTCACCAGCCACACTACTAGCGTCATCAAGAACGGTGTCAAGGTTCAGAGTATTACCATCCTCGGTAAGGACTGCGCCGTCGCAGATGAGGTCCGTGTGCAGAACTGTGTCTGTCTGCCATACAAGGAGCTGAAGAGGGTAAGACATATAATTACGAGTATATTGAAAGCTTGGCTAATTCATTCAACAGGACGTCTCTAATGAGGTCATCATGTAAAATGATGTGAGACTTTACAGTACGCTATTGATCGATGATAATGAAGGGACAACGACATGGGAATCTGTAGTGAACGATTAGGAAAATAGCACCGCTAAGGGGCGTTTGAAAGAAAAATCAATATAACACAATCTATGAGGAATTTCAACCAAATACTCGCAGCATAAAACAGAGACCAAAAATGTGTGTATATGATTTGCGAGGAGCTATGTTGAGTATCATCAGTTTCTGTCAAGGATGTTCAGGGCTACCCGCGTCTAGACTCGATAGGGTATCGGCGTTTGAACATTGCATCTTGTCACTTTGCCAACACTCACACTCTTCTGCCATACTTCATGAAAAAAATTGCTACGTCAGGTGATACCCAGTCTCTTATAACACCGTAACTCTGGAACTTGTCACTGCCATAAAACTCAACCACCACCAGCCTCAATATTAGCAAAATCCTTTTTTTATCGAACCCGCCATCAAACCACCAAACTGCCATTAAACAGCAACAAAAAGAGAGAGAGAGAAGAGCACACCATGTCAGACATGCAAGCCGCGCTCCAAAAAGCGCGGCACAAACTGCACAACAGCGACAAACCCTGGACAACATCCCCAAGTCTGACCCCCACACCCTCCCCATCCGCGCGCTCCACCAACCCCATTTCACCCACGCACTCGTCCATCCTCCCAAGAATCGACATATCCCCCTTCCTGCACCCCTCCTCCTCAGCCTCCTCGCGCCTGCAAACAGCGCAAGCCATCAACGCCGCATGCACAACCTACGGCTTCTTCTACCTCACCGGCCACGGAATCCCACAGCACCAACTGGACTCGGTCATCTCCCTCGCGCGGCAATTCTTTGCCTTGCCTCTAGCCGAAAAACTCAAGATTGAGAGATTCGACGCGGGGACTCTACAGGGCGGCGACGGCGCACGCGGGTACCAGCGCCTCTGTACCGATGATGACGGTGGCGGATTACAGGATCTACAGGAAGCTGTGGATTTCTATGCCGAGTGGCCTGAGGACTTGCGCGAGGAGGGGGATGCAGGACCTGGCAGCGTGAAGAGTCTCCAAGGAAGGAATTTGTGGCCGGGGGAGCCGGGGGAGTTGAGGCGAGTGTATGAGGAGTATATCAAGAGGGTGAGTGAGGTTGGTGAGGCGTTGGTGCGGGCGATGGGGGAGGCGTTGGAGTTGGAAGGGGAGGGGGAGAAGGGGGTTGTTGAGGGGGCGTGTAAAGGGTCTTTTTGGGTGCTTAGGATGATTGGGTATCCGCCTTTGCCTTCCTCGTCTGCTTCTTCTTTTTCTTCGTCTTCTGGGACGCGGGAGATGAGTGGGGAGGAGGGGGAAGAAGAAGAACAACAACAACAGTTTTCATGTGGCGCACACACGGATTACGGGTGTGTTACTCTTCTTCTCTCAGACGACACACCCAATGCACTGCAAATTCAGCTTAAAGACGGCACGTGGCTTGATGCCGATCCGGTCCCCGGCGCGTTTGTAGTTAACATTGGGGATATGATTGAGCGGTGGACGAATGGACTGTGGAAGAGTACTCTGCACCGCGTTATCCATCGAACGGGGGATCGATATCGCATTAGTGTTCCATTCTTCTACGAGCCGAATTTCTACGCCCAAGTTGCGCCGTTGGAGACGTGTGTGAAGAGGACGGGGGGCACGCGGGTGTATGAGAGTAGTGTGTATGGAGAGCATTTGTTGACGAAGGTGTTTAGTAATTTTTATTATAGTAAGAGGACAGATTGGTAAAGTGTTTCGCAATGTATATATATGCATGTATGTATGTATGTATGTGTAATTACAAAGAGATTTTTAGATACCACCTTTGAGATAGTAATCTAGGGGATATCCCAACCAAGCGCACTGTTCTACATCTTGGTATCCAGTGCTCTTGCTTGGCCAGTCTAAGAAACGGATTTCATCGCCATTCTGACCTGTTGCATCGACGGCTTTCCACGCGCCGAATTTCTTCGCGCCCTCAACCTCCTTTTCATATCCCCGTACGTCCAAGTAACTCACGCTGGGGTTTGGGTCGCCGCTTCGGATGAACGAGGCAAAGTATCCCGTGGTAAGCTGCTCGCTCCACAGATCCTTGGAGTCACGGATTGTAGTCAGTGTGCCAAATACCCAGTCAGTTTCCGAGCCATGGATACGGAAGTAAGGGTTCTCTGGGTTGTTATTGGCGGGCCCGCCGAGGCCGTCGGGATCGTAACCGCCAATTGTGCGCTCGAATTGATAAAAGTAGGCCTTTTCGAAGGCGTGGGAGCGGGAGCCAGAATACACGGTGGATTGGTCAATGCAGCGGAACATCTTGTCTGTTGTGATGCGCTGGGAGACGTTGAACGAGTCGAGTGTCAGGTTTCCCGTGTTGACCAAGGGGAAGAGACCAGAATCGATGACGCGTTGGGCCCATGTGCTGTTGATGCTGAGGGCTTCTTGGAGACCCTGGCTATGGTTTGAGATGGCGGTTTTGGGGTAATTAGTAAATGAGGCGCCGTCGTTGCGAGTGACGCCAAACATGACGGGAATGTGCGCGGTACTAGCGTTGCGAGTTGTGAGGATGAGGTTGGATGTGTCGACGTAGGTTCCATCCTGGACGACATAGCGTGCGACAGTATTGAAACCAATTATCTTTGCTGCGTCGGTTGTTTTAAGACAGGCAATCTGAGCAGACAAGTCGGTGCTGTTGCAGCCCGCTGCCGCAAAGATCTGCTGGCCTGCCTTCTGGTAACTTTCCTCGATAGTGAGGTAGGTTGAGTATGTTGTACCGTAGTCACCATCGAGGCCCAGTGTCTTGCCCCCTCCGAGATTGGACATGGCAATGGCACCTTGGAACTTGCCAATGGCTTTTGGTGAACCGAGATGCACACGAACTGAGCCGGCGCCTGCAGAACCACCGGCGATGGTGATTCTCTTAGGGTCACCTCCAAAAGAGGCGATATTGGCAATGACCCAGTCTAGTGCCACTTGTTGGTCCTGGATACCAAAGTTTCCTTTGATGTCCGTTCCTGGAATGGCAAGGAAACCGAGCGTGGAGAGACGGTAGTTGATACTGACAACAACCAGGTCTTCTTTACTCGCCAAGTTTCCACCGTCGGTAAGCGGATCTGAACCGACTCCTCCTGTGAATCCTCCACCGTGAATCCAGAAAAGAACCGGTCGAAGGTTCTTCTTGGATCCAGATTTAGGAATGTAGGGCGTCTGAATACCCAAAAACAGACAATCCTCACTTCCACCACCACCCTGAATACACTGTGACCCGTGCTGGGTAGCTTGAATAGTCTGGCCCTTCTTGGAATAGATAGAAGAGTACTGAAATCGCTTTGGTGTATCGGCGTATGGGATGCCGAGGAAGCGGAACGACTTTTGGTTGCGGTACCCAACGAACGTGTTGCCTCCCGATGCTACTGAGACACTACTGCCCTCGACAAATCCAGCATTTCGTGAGCCATTGTTGAAGGATTGAGTGCACAAAACTGGTAGTTGTTTGCGAGGCGCCGGAGAAGACAGGTAGCTCACGCGGTCACCCACTGAAACGACACCGTTGTCGATGTGATAACCCTGCCCCGCGTCGCTGTATTTGGCGTAGTCTTGGTATGAGAGGGCATCATTGAAATCGTCCTGATGCTGTTCAAGAGCAGCTCGGGTGATGAGCTTCTCATTCAAGGAAGCGCAGGCTGCCGCTGCACTGGCTTGGGGAACCGGGTCGAGGACAATAGCGCCAATGTGGTTCTTGTCGTCTGATCCATTGAGGTTGTTCTGATAGACAAGTGTCAAGGAAGATTTTGCATTTGACACGCCAGCGGTAGCGTTTGGCTGAGCTACTGGAGAAGCCTGAGAGACAGCTGCCAAACCAGCCGTAGCAGCGGCGACAAAGGTGGCTAGGACAGTCATCTTGAATGTTGACGAGGAGACTTGATCAACAGCTGGAGTATCTTCCCCGTGCATCTTGGCCTTCTTATACAGCCCCGGCAACCCGGATGTCGTTAGGGTCGTAATTTATCAACCGTAGCGCCGGTGCTAGGCAGTGGCACTGTGCAAGAGGCTATTCAAATCAAGCCTTTGAACGCCGGTTTACCCCAGCAACCGATAGGTAGATCGATGCCTAGGCAGGGGCACTGGCAAAATACTAGTTAGTAAAGGTGGGCACCGCTATGGGCATGGTCGATTTTAGCGCCATGTCCGTCTCGACACGTGTGATAAGGTCATGATGGATTTCTGCATGTAGCAACTGGTGTGAAGGATACCCCAACCGGTTCCCATGCAACAGATAAAAATTTGCTATGCTTTTGAGGTCGAAGGTGCCATTGTCGCTGCCAAACGAACTCCAACAGTGATGTATAGGCCGCGATCTGGGTCAAGGCGGTAGTATTTAGCCGTTTAGCCAGCATATACGGTGGTTCAAGGAGCGTTCCGTAGACTAAGAGGCGTTACAGGGGTCGGAGTGGAGGTAGTCGCGATCTATTCGCGGGGTTTAGGTTTTCGGGTGGGAAAAAGCAGAAGTGGATATGTTATGGGGTAATGGCCGGGTACAATGCGGGGAGTCGACCAGAACGGAGATTTGCCGACCATGATGTTAGTGTTAGCACAACTCGCGGTTTGGATCCAACGCCTTCCACTTTTTCGCCACAACCTTATATTCATTGGAGGTGCAGCGTGGACACGCACGCTTCTCTTTCAGTACGTGTTCATGAAGCATAGTCCAGACCGCGCTTTGGATAAGAAATCACCATACTGTCTAGGATAAACCAACCCTTCTGAATAAGTTGACTAGAAACTTGACCTAAAACTGAGTCTTTTTCGCATCTCTCGTCAAAGACCGAGTCGCGCGGTATTCGTTGCAATTTCTACTTGGAGTTGCATGTGCGCGCAAACCGTACACATGGAAGTTGACACGCAACCCGAGACTCGTATCTTGCACATGGTGTTGGAACTGAGATGGCAGTATGTCATTTGGGCTATGGTCGTGATAGGATGTCGTAGGCCATCATCTTGCAGGATTCGCAGATGGATCTTGTCTATCGCAGTGGGTCGCGTTAGGCAGATCGGCAGCTGCAACACTGTGGCACAGCAAATGCTTATCTGGAACATGAGAACTCGAATTCGAGCTTCACATCCTGCTCTGTGTCAGCGCGAGTCAAGAAAACACAAATCTCATAACCTTTTTGTTTTTTGACCCCTCCAAAAGCAGCAAGCGTTTCTTTGTCTAGCGCACCTCAGCGTGGGCGCGGTAGATACGACCATTGTATTATTCAGTAGCTGAGATTGAACCGGGCCGTGGTCGGCACCATGTTTCTTGTTTGTTGAACAAGCACATAGCTACTCCGCAGTCTTAAGGCTTGGGGGCGCAATTGGCGTTGGCATGAAGACAGCGGGTGTCTGCATACAGGGTTCATCCAGGTCTGGAGAGACGACAAGGGTAAGTTTGATAGGTAGCTGAGAAGACTATAGTGAGATAGTTATGACGTCAAGTCATCGCTCAGACACCAGTATGTTAACATTATGTATGCGAACGTGCTGATACACTATATGCAACGTGGTCTAACTCGTGTATCTCGGAATTGTCAAGATTGTAGATAGAGTACATGGATTGGATCATAGGATTAAAAACGCCCTTTTCAGACCGATGCAAGGCACTCATAACCCAGCCATGGTTGTTTCGATAAGAAAAAAGAAAAGAAAAGATGGAGACTAACGACTAGTAATACATACATATATGTGTGTTGTCTGAGGATTGACCGCCATGATAATATGTCGTGGTAGTCGTTGAGGGATAAAGCAGTCTCGTAGTCACATGTCAGCACGGGCCGAATCATGAGCGTATAGACACTACACATGTATGCTTTTGCATCTTCGCATCTTATACCTCAATGCGCATGATTACTCCATGCATGTCCGCGCAATTTTTGTTTATTCCCGCAAACCCACTGCGCAAGAGTAGCACAACACAGTGAATATCCTTGTCCAAGCTCCACACGCTGTAACACCGCCGCACCATGGCACCGCTATTCGTCCCCCTTCAGTCGTTACGGCGGAGCGCCGGAAGGCCGGAGCAGAGACTTCCAATACGGGGGAGCTACGTTTCCGACGTTTTGACGTTGGCGCTGGAGAGGACCGCTATACGCTCCAATGACAGCTGTTACCATTCAAAAGGGAGATGAGCTGCAAATTAGCAGCGTGTGGGTGCCTAACTGCGGGGACGTGAGGCTGAGCGCCCCCCGCAGAGCCGTACAAGGACAACAGTAGATGGTGGCCTGAAGGCAGCACAGCATCATTGCTGACCTCCCAAGGATGGCGAAGGCGTCTCAAATATCAACAAAGGAGACGTTCAATGTCGATGATGGTGTGGCGGTTGCTAGGTAGGCTCGTATCCCTGGCAGCGCTCCACAAGAAATTACGCGCTACGAGTGTGCCTGACGCACGCACACAACTAACGGCCATGAAGGGTATCCGACATAGCCGGTACTGCGGTCAAAGAAGCAGTGCAGGAAAGACAACTGTAGTGCTGATGACTGGGACTGGAAAGGCGAGCACGCGACTGTCGGCAAGTGGCAGTTCACTAGGTAGTTTGTCATAAATAGAGCAAGCTAATAGGAGGATCGCCAGGGTTCCGCGACTCCAGCCACACCAAAGTGGCACCTATATCCGGACCAACGTACGGGATGAGGTCAGACCAGTCTCCTAGCGCTTCCTGCCATTCCAGCCGTTTGAAGCGAGCCATGGTTGTCCGTGGTGTGATTGCAACATTT